GGGTTAAGAGTTAAGGATGTCTTTGCCCAACTCTTATAGAACATTAATACGATGAAGGGAAAATGCAGACTGGGAACCCTGTGTTTATTTATTGAATCTCTTTATTTAATTAAAACACTTCTGCTCCCTTTTTTCTATCAATGGTGCCTCGTTCAAATCAGGGGGCCAGCCCCCCCCCCCAATTGAACATGGCTGGCTATATGACCTTGATGTTTACCCCCAGGACCCCAAGAACTAGGAAGGTGAAGAGAAGCCTGGTCCAGGTGATGGGAGTGTGCATCTAGCCCAGGGGCTCCCAACATGACGCCCAACCATGGTGCCCACCGAGACCTTTCCTGGCACCTGCCAATGTTTTCAGAAAGTGGGTGGGGGCAGCGTCAGCTATGCAGCTGCCATGGCTGAGATGGGGGGGGATGCAGTTTGTTGGATATATTGTCTCTGTCTATGCCTAACTTGGAATGTTAAATTTCGATTCTCCTTGCCTCCTTATCATTTTATAGCTTAGGCTGGGGACTTTGGAACCTTGTTACTCTGTTCTCTGGGAATCCTTAGCTAGTAGCCTTGGCGGGCTTTTGCAGTTATTCTGATTGGCTCTGATCCATCCCCCTGACCCTTTGAATCATGTATATTATTTGGCAGCACACGTGCGCGCGCTTATTCCCATTCCTGACAGTGAATGTATGTGTAGATGACTTGCCTTTACAGACTTTCAGGGGTCATTTCCTGTGGGAGCGCACAGGAGCAGAGCTCCGGCAGTAAGGAGCCCAGGGGGTGGGCACATGCAACAAGCCCTGTCCCCTGCTCCCAGCAGCCCTCAGTCGGGCCATGGGGAGCAAGAAGCAGTCAGGTAAGTTGCAGAGCCCCACCCCCCGGCCCACCTTCAGGTACAAGCTCTCCCTCCTCTGTGAGGGCAGATATGCACGTTCCCCCCCCCCATAGCTAGCAATCCAAAACAGTCCAGTGGCACCTTTAAGACCAAGTTTTATTCAGGTACAAGCTCTCCCTCCTCTGCGAGGACAGATCTGCATGTTCCCCCTCCCCCCAATAGCTAGCAATCCAAAACAGTCCAGTGGAGCCTGAGTGGTGAGTGTTGCCTTCTGACACACGTCCGGTGATGTCAGGGTGTGTGGCATATGCAAATAAGTTATGGTAATGAGTTATGCTAATGAGCTCCTGCCCCTCTTTTTCTATGAAATGACCCCAGCAGACTCCAATAAACTTTACTCCTTTGGAAAGGAAGTTGTGGGGAACTGATTTGCTGCAGGACTCTGCCAGCCAGGTGGGGCTTTTGCCCAGCCAGGCTTCTGATTGGCCACTGGAGATTTAATCAGTGGAATGAACTTTTAAGAACATTGCTTGGGCAGCAGCTGTCACCAGAGCAGGAGGAAGGTGAGCTGCGGCAGCCATTTTGTGTTTGGCTCCACCTCCCGTGGCAGCCATTTTGTGCTAGTGGCCACAGCGCTGTGTCAGAATTCCAAAACTGCCCACAGGTTCAGAAAGGGTTGGGACCCCCTGCCCCTCGCAGTTTGGGGCATTGTCACGAGTTTGCGTCGCTTTTAGGGGTTGAGGATAGTGGGGCGGGTATCCAAAGGGAAAATCGAGGCTTGGCGGTGCATTCCCTCAGACTCCTGGTTTCACTTATATTACCTCACAAGGTGGACCCTGTTGGGTTCGCAGGCCAAGTTTTCCGTCGCAACCCTTTCACAGCTTGTTTCCTGCCTACAACCCCGACCTCTATCCTTCCTGGGTATGCCGATCGCCCTCCTCTTTATTCCCCTCTAACACCTGCCTCACTTCAGAGCAAATTAGTTACAGGGCCGGCCGGCTGCTGGTGTTTGCCAGCAGGTAACCATCCTTCTTCATCTCGAGCGCTCCAGCGTTGGCGCCCGGGGCCAAGCCTGTTGGTTCTTCCCCCTTGAGTTGCCGGCGAACCACGTTTTGGAGAGCCGCCGGCTCTACTGGATCCTCCCGGTGTCCCTTCGTTGCCGGGAGGCGCACCTGGTCCCTGGCTCGCCCCTTTAGTGCCTCGACTTGTGGTGGGTGTCCGTCCTCGGTGTTGGTGCCCCGACCATCTTCCTCGCTGTCCTCTGGAGTCCCAGGCTGGTGGGTTGGCCGGGTGAGCGTCGCCTGACAGCCATCCCATGAAATAGCCCGACTGCTGAGGAGGGAACTGAGTGCTGAGCCTTCTGAGGAGAAGACCCCATTCAGGACAGCAGGAAGGGTGGGGCAAAGATGCACCATAAAGCACCTCCTCATACCGATTCATGGCTCGGGAAGGCGGCCTGGACAGCTTCACGGCTGACCTTCTGTCCAGGCTTTGAATGTGTCCCTTTTGGACAGCTCCCCTGCTAATGAGTCCTCAGACTGCAACCCCAACTATCCCGCTGGATGGAGCTAGGCTGAACTGGCTGAACTGGAAATAGGGGAGATGACCTCAGCCCACAGAGAGAGGAAACCAAGGCCTCTGGGCTCAAGTAGGGTTAGTTGTCCGTGGTGGAAAACTCCTTGTGGGTACATAACCCACAACAGCCCACTACAGAGACTCTCCCAGCCAATGTTCCCTCTAAGCTGTGGAGTCTTGTGAGCAAAAATTCTACTTTGTGAGCTACTGGCATTAAAGTTGTGAGCAGCTGATTTGGCCGCTGCATAAATTAGTTTGCTCTGGAGCCATCCTTCTTGAGCTATGAAAAAAATGTGTGAGCTGGAGGCTAAAAAAATATGAGCTAGCTCACACTAACTCAGCTTAGAGGGAACACTGCTCCCAGCTATGCCATATAGCTGAAAGTGCTCAAGACATTTTATGGGGTTTCTTATCCATTCCTCAGTTGTATATTTGATCTCAACTAGTGGGACTCTGGGGGCTGCGGTGGCTCAGCGGTTAAGAGGCTGAACTGCAGGCCGGAAGGTCTGTAGTTTGGCAGTTCGAGACCCGAGTGCTGCGTGATGGAGTGAGTTCCCGTCTCTGGCCCCAGCTCCTGCCAACTTAGCAGTTCGAAAGCAAGAAATTGCAAAGTAGGATAAATAGGTACCGCTTCGGTGGGAAGGGAACAGCGTTCTGTGCACCTTGGTGTCTAGTCATGCCGGCCACATGACCATGGAAACGTATTTGGACAGCGCTGGCTCTTTGGCTTGGAAACAGAGATGAGCACCGCCCCCTAGAGTTGGATTCGACTGGCTTTCGAGGCGGGGAAACCTTTACCTTAGTGGGACTCTGACCAGCCTTGAGGGAAATCTGGACCAGAACTTCTCCAGATTCTAGTATCTTGGAACTAACAAAACAACATGAAACGGACTGCTGAACATTTTACCCCCTTTTTCTCCCACAAACAAAACTATTCTTTAATTGCTTTACTGTAACTAACGTACCAAACTGTCATCATACATTATATTGTTCTAGAAACCCAAATATTGTCCTTCCAGAATACTCGCTGGAAAGCTAAGTCATAAGGTAATATTTATAATGTTCTAGGCATTTTTTGTGCCAGTATGCATGTGTGTGTGCGTGTGCGCACACATGCCTGGAAGTCATGGTTAATTTCTGGCAATCCCTAGTGGGGCTTGGACATTTCAGAGAGGTGGCTTGCTATTGCCTGCCTCTGCGTCCTGGCCCTGGTATTCCTTGGAGGTCTCCCGTCCAGGGTCAGCCCTGTTTAGCTTCTGAGATTGGGGCAATCTAGGTCACAGCCATGTTCTGGGCATTTTTTATTTGTCTGCAGTGGGTACCTTGAGGCCTCCACACACCCCAGAGAAATGTGGGTAGAACCTGACGGTGCGGGACATGGAGCCGTATTGCTTGCTGTGCTCATTTCTGGGAACTCCAGATCGTCACCCAGAGACACCTGAGGATTTTAAAGTGGGGGAAATGTTGGGTGACTTTACGTTGTGCTTATGGGGCTGTAATCACGGTCCCTTGCCTTCCTGTGATCTTATAGGGGTGAGGCATATATGGCAGAGAAAGTTTGTCTGTTGGCTGTAAATTCCTCAGTTTCTCCAGTTCTTATGAAGATAGATTCAGGTGGGTAGCCGACGTGTGTTGGTCTGAAACAACAGAACAAAGTTTGAATCCAGTGGCCCCTTTAAGAACAACAATGTTTAAATCTGGGCACAAGCTTTCGTGTGCATGGTCTCTTCTTCAGATATTTGGACACAAAACTTCTATCCAGAACTAAACGTTGCTGGGCTTAAAGGTGCCACTGGACTCAAACTTTGTTCTGCCGCTTCAGGCCACCCACCTGGATGGATCTGTCTTTGTTCCTAGTGTAATAATCATGGTCTTGGAGTCGCGGCATCCAGGATACAATACAGGCTGGTGGCTGGAATGAGACACTGGTGAATGTAGGTTGTAATGGCTTTTGATCAGTAATGATTGTGAAGTGACATCCGTATCGGTGCAAGAGAAAAGGGTAAACAGCATTTACACTTTCCGCACAACAACCAAAGCTCCTCTTTCTGTTGGTGAATAGCAGTGCTCGACTGAGATAATCTGCTGGCATATGCTATGGTGCACACATAACCATTCGAATCTGTTTGTGTCAGTATAGTGCCAAACCCTGCTGGGCTGGCATCCACTATAAGGTCAGTGTTTTTCTTTTGATCAAAGTATGCCATTGTTATATTACTAGAGAAAGATGTCTTCAGGCAAGTTAAGACTGCTTGATGGTTGGTTGTGCACTCCCGTACTTTATTCTTGCTTGTGAGCTCTCAGAAGGGATGAGTGATGGTTGTGAGGCTGGGAATGAAATGTCCACAGTATGTAACAAGGCCAAGTAAACTTCTGAATTCAAATGAAGTGTTTGGGCCTGACACTTCCTGTACGGCTGCCACTTACTTTGGATCAGGACAGAGTAAAACAGTTGGCAGAGAAAACCTATACAAATAAATCTAATTTATCATTATAGTTGTACTTCTCAGAATGGAATGTGAGATTACATTATTGTAGGTAAAGTAGAACAGCGTCACGTCTGTCATCGGGTTCCTGTTGAGTTGTCCTGAACACAAGAATGTCATCCCTGAGGTTGAACACCAGGTGAGGTTTCCTGGATTACATTCTGAAAAATTTCAGCAGCAGCAGCAGCAGCAGCAGCAGCAGCAGCAGCAGCAGCAGCAGAAGAGATTGGATTTATACCCCGCCTTTCACTACCCACGGGAGTCTCAGAGCGGCTTACAAACTCCTTCCCCTCCCCACAACAGACACCCTGTGAGGTAGGTGGGGCTGAGAGAGCTCTGACAGAAACTGCTCTTGAAGAAGAAGAAGAGATTGGATTTATACCTTGCCTTTCACTACCCAATGGAGTCTCAGAGCGGCTTACAAACTCCTTTCCCTTCCCCTCCCCACCACAGGCACCCTGTTGGTGGAAGACCTGGGGTGGATCAGAGGGAGCGGATCATAGAGCCGATCTGCAGGCCAACGAGGCAGCGGTGATGGCAGCAAAGAAGACTTTCTCCTTGCCACCACTGCGGCAGCAGAGCCTCGCCCAGCTCAATTGTTTAAAGTGGTTCCCGACCTGATAACACCAGACCCTGTCAGTGATGACAATTTGGCCCTCAGGTGTGATGTTTTTGCAAGGTTCTTTGCTGATAACTTTTCCCCATCATTCGTTCCTAATCGGAGGCCAAGCTGAGTGCAGACCCGGTACCTGTGGTGTCGGAAGCGCCTGCTTGTCCTTCTGTGATGGATAGTTGCAGACTGATTCTACCTGTGCGTGCCGACAGGGTCCTTGGGAGTGCAAGGACCACCGCGTGTGCTCTGGAGCCACACCCACCTTATTTCTCAGAGCTAGGCCGTAGCCACTTTGCCTAATTACAAGATTTAGGTGGGGGCTCAGACCAGCATGGCTACCCACCTGAATCTGTCTCCTGAATAAAGTTACCATGTGTTGATTTTTAAAAAAATACGTTCCTGGCATCCACAGATGGTGACCCCAGTCATGAAATTAGAAGACGCCTGCTCCTTGGGAGCAAAGTGATGGCAAACCTAGACAAGAATAATAAAAAGCAGAGACATCACCCTGTCAACAAAAGTCCATATAGTCAAAGCGATGGTATTCCCAGTAGTACTGTATGGCTGTGAGAGTTGGACCATAAGGAAGGCTGAGCGCCGAAGAATAGATTGTTTCGAATTATGGTGCTGGAGAAGACTCTTGAGAGTCCCTTGGACTGCAAGGAGATCAAATCAGTCAGTCCTAAAAGAAATCAACCCTGACTGTTCCCTGGAAGGCCAGATACTGAAGCTGAAGCTCAAATACTTTGGCCACCCAATGAGAAGGGAGCCCTCACTGGAGAAGACCCTGATGCTGGGAAAGATTGAAGGTACAAGAAGACGGGGACGGCAAAGGATGAGATGGTTATATAGTGTTATCGATGCAACGAATATGAAATTGAGCAGACTTCAGAGCATGACGGAGGGCTGGTGTGATGTGGTCCATGGGGTCATAAAGAGTCGGACTCGACTGTGCGACTGAACAACAACAACATTGTGAGAAAGAGGTACTTTTCTCCCTTTCTCACAATACAAGAACTCGTGGGCACTCCATGAAACTGCTGAGCGGTCGGGTTAGAACGGGTAAAAGGAAGTACTTCTTCACCCAAAGAGTGATGAACACATGGAATTCACTGCCGCAGGAAATGGTGGAGGCTACAAGCATGGACGGCTTCAAAAGGGAATTAGATAAGCATATGGAGCAGAGGTCCATCAGTGGCTATTAGCCACAAGGTATAGATAGGGGCTCTGGGGCAAGTGATGCTCTGTCTTCTTGGTGCTAGGGGGGGGTCAACAGTGGGAGGGCTTCTAATGTCCTGGCCCCACTGCTGGACCTCCTGATGGCACTGGTATTTCTGGCCACTGTGTGACACAGAGTGTTGGACTGGATGGGCCTTTGGCCTGATCCAACATTGGCGTCTCTTATGTTCTTAACAAACCCTCTGCATATTCCTGCATGACGATGTGCTGATTACTGAATGGATTTAGGCAAAGCACTTTGGCTTCGGGATGAAACAGCAGAGTGGCTGTTTCCCCTTCCAGGGGCAGGACAGCCTCCTGTCCATCACAGTGGGGCAACCAGGGATTCTATAAAGTTTTTCTGCTGCAGGCAGGATAACATCCCCTGCAGCTTGCTTTTGTCTGGCGGCTGCCTGGAAAGCTCCACTGCTGACCTGCCCTCCAGGTCCCAATTCTTTTCCTAGTTTCTAGACCAGGAATCCCCAACGTGGTGCTCATGGGCGCCATGGTGGCCCCAGATGTTTTGAGGAAGGGGGTGGGGCCAGATAGGGCTTTTGCCCAGCAAGGCTTCTGATTGTCTACTTGAGGTTTGATTGGCGGCTGTGCAGATTTTTTAAAATGTTGCTTTGGCTTCAGAAACTGGTGCTTACTTCAAAAATCTGCTGCCTTAAGGGTGATGGCTACCCTTACAAAGATGCCACCTGCCAGTTCATAGCTGTACTTAGGCCCCGGTCACACGGGCTGGAAAATGCGGGGGGGAAGCGTGGCTGTTTGCCCCGGGGCAAACTAACACGCGACGGCGAGATCAGACGTCTGGTTGAGGTCCCGTCGAGGTCCCGTGGCTAGGGGGGAGGTGCCGATCACATCACAGGCAAAGAAGCGGGGCGGGGCGGCAAACGTTTTTTTTTTTTAACTTTTTAAAACTGAAGTGTGCGTATGCTCCGTTGGGTGCTTGTGCGCATCCGTGGAGCCTTGGGGGAAAAAATGACCTGTTTGCGAGGGGACATGGGCGGCCGCCGGATGCCACCGGAAACGCGATCAGACGCCCGCCCTTGCTCCGCGGTTTCCGGAAACTAGTATTTCCGAGGTACTAGTTTTTTGCCGCACATCTTCAGAGGGAAGCCTCGGTTGAGCCACGGGAGCTCTACGCTTCCCAGATGTGGCGGTGAGATCGCGCCCGGAAAATCTGCCTATCTTCCGTCTCTCTAGCGTGGCTACTGCTCCGTGTGACCGCAGCCTTAGTTCGCTATCTCTTATTGTAAGGTGCTACATCATCCAACTGTCCCTATTTAGGAGGGTGAGGCCCAATTTTTGTGCAGCCTATTTTTTTTTCATTTCCCCCCAAAAAACCTTTATTAGCATAGATAAAATACAGCATGGATCATATTTTAAAATGCATATCAAAATTATGTAAATATAAACAGTCAATCCACCGGGGCTTTGACTTTATATTCTCTTACCCTTATAGCGATAGAAAGAAATCGCGCTACTGAGAAAGTAATGTGAGGGCGAAGATCTGATAAAAGGAAACATATAAGTCTCTCTTCAGATAGACTATGCTTATTGTGCAGAAAGGGGCTGATTAGAACATCCCAAATTCTATTATAAAATTCACAGCTGAGCAAGATGTGAGCAATCGATTCTGGGGTGCAGCCTATTTTACATTTGGGGGAAAATATTTTTTTAAAATGTGTCAGCGACATATATACATAGAGTTGCCATTCCTGATGTTTCAAGCCCAAAAGAGCCAAAAAGAGTCCTGATGTTGCATTTCTGTGTGCCCGGGGATCTAACGCATGTTGCTTTTTGCATGCACATGCAGGAGGAACGGAGGCTGCTATCCTACACACAAGAATCTGGCTGTAAACTCAGGGGGGCTTACAGTGACATAAAGACACACACTTGATCGGACTGTGTAGCATTATCTAGCACACACACAGCCAGCCATTTCATGCGCTGCAGATATGGCGAAGTCCATTTTGAACTGTTACGTAGGGTAACCTGTTACAAAAGCCGGCAGGCTGCTTTGGCTTATCACCCAGAGCGTGCCTTGCCTCCTTTTACACAGCTCTCTCCCCACACAGTAAACATATAGCCTGCTCCAAAAGCGATCATTTGTTTAATAAGTGCAGTCAGATTTCAATTAAACACATATAACAGAGGAAAGCGTTACAGTTCTATGGTTGCCACCTTCGGAAGACCAAAAAAACCCCAGGAGATGTTTCCCAACTGACTACTCCAAAAGAGTGATCGCTAGGCGTGACAAAGCTCCTTTTAAAGACGCCTCCTATTTAAAGCGCTGATCATTGCTACTCACTAAAGGAATATATTCCTCACCTCCCAGCCCCAGAAGAGGACCTTTGCACCAGTCTTTATAACAAGAGCCCCAAAGAGGAGGGACACACACAAGAGGAGGCGACATGCCCTCTAAAAAAAAAAAAAAAGCGTGCACCCCTGGCCACCCTCTCGTTAGAATAAAGCAGGGGTCCAGCCGGCACCTTGAAGCCGAACTCCCGTTTATTCCCGCTTCCGCACCGGGCTTGCATTTCTAGTACCTGCAGCCAACCCCGCCGGCTGCGCTCCCACGTGCCATCCTAAGGCTCCCGGGCGCGCCCCCCGCGCCTCTCCCGCAGCCGCGCTCGCCTTTTTTGCAAAGACAAAGGACAGCGGCGGCGGGGGGGGGGAACGC